TTTTCCTTCTCCTCCACCCCACGCAGTTTGCTGGCAGCTTTGTGCTAATTTCAAACAGGCAACTAAAACAAAGACCTTCTGTATGCATTTCATTTTAAAGAGATATTGGAGCAGACGAAGTTTGGCGTCATATTGTCAGAGCAATCGCACAGGTGACGTTTTGACATAAAAGGAACCTAATTAATAACCTTCTAAATACAATAGCACAAAATTTCTTGTAACACAACACCGCTCAATACAAACTCAGAAAATGGCCACAAGAGCAGGAAGAACAGTTTCAGCTGGAAAAACTAAAAATTAACATTGTAAAATAATACTAACAACAAAAACAACAAATTAATAAAAATAAATGGAGTGCAATTACACTTTTCTTATGCTGACATGCCGAGGCCCCAGCTGCCCACAGATGTGCTGACGTATCTAAAGTAAAGAGTCTTTACTTATTCATTACTGAATGAATTATTACACATTGCTCAAGTAAATGAGAAGCTGGGCTGTTTTTTTTTTTTTTTTAAGGGAGGGCTTTTCTATTAATTTCTATGTCTGCATTTGTATTCTTAGTACAGCTTTGCATGATTCACAGTATCAAAATAATCCTCTTATCTCATTATGTCCTTAAAGCTAGCTTTCTTCTGGTTGGATGGTTCTCACAAACAGAAGCTTTTGACAGCGAGTGGGTGGGGCTTGTACCTGCTCAGTATTATCATACTGGTGTGAAAAAATAAATGATTCAAATGTGTCTGCATGTCAATTTGAAACTCATGCTCAAACGCTGACACAGTTTTAAGGAATTCATCCACACTGAACAAAAACCAGTGTTGACAAATTAATCTGCTGAACCCAGGGACTCATCTCATCAGTAATACACTATACTGCCAAAAGTATTCACTCATCCATACAAACTATTGAATTCAAGTGTTCCAATCACTTTAGTGGTCACAGGTGTATAAAAATCAAGCAGCTAGCCTGCTTGTACAAGCAAGCTCCATAAAAACAGAGGAGAGAATTTGGTGTAGAAGAACTTGACTGGCCTGCACAGAGTCCTGACCTCAACTCGACAGAACACCTTTGGGATTAATTCGATTGCAATCTGTGAACCAGGCCTTCATCCGACTGTACTTCTGGAAGAATGTTCAAAAATTCCCATAAACGCTCCTGAACCTCAGTTGAAGCTGTTGTGTCTGCAAAGGGCTGACATCATATCAAACCCTAAGAATGGGAGGTCACTTAAGTTCAGATGTGTGTGAAGGCAGATGAGTGAATACTTTTTGCAGTGTAGTGTATTTGTGCTCAACACATTTCTTTCTAACAAGCCAGCAGCTGTGCTGTGTGCAAGATCTGTACGAACTAACACCAACACTTCCTCCTGGCCAGCATTTGTGTTGTGAGAGACAGTAGGGGCGTGTGAGGTAGCGAGCGCTCTTGTTTTTGGCAAGACACTAAAAGCTGTGTACATCAGTTTTAAAATAGCCTGGAGGCGAGCGGCACCCTGCAAACTAATCCGCTGCCTCAGCCTTTGGTTTTAGCGTGCACTGAACAACAGAACTGCGGGGACTTCAAGCTCTGAAATGCTCCCAAGATAAAGATGCATTTTATTAAGAGAAACCGTCTTGAGAAACACCCACAGGCTGAACTCCAAGTTAATGAGGAAGAAACTCCCACTCTTCACTCATCTACTCAGAGTCATTTTCTCTACACACAAATTACAAACAAACCAGTTGACTCGCACCTTGCTCTAGCCGGAGGGACAGCGACCTTCTGGCGGCCTCCACCTCCGATTTGGGGCTGTCCAGAGCCTGCCGGCACCACTGCAGCGGTGTGAGGGCGTCGCTCGTGGTCTCCGACCTGCGGTCCTTTGATGACACATATAACCTGGAAAGAGAAGCAAGAGTGAACTAGACTTCTACAACTTCTATGAGCTCTGATAGGAGACTCTGGCCAATCCCAGATCTTTCCAAACATGATCAGGGGAGCAGTTTAAGAGACTACAAAGAGCTGGACAGTGTGTACACTGTGGTGGGGACAAATCTGGGAAAGCCAAACTCAAAGGTCAACAAAGACTTACTCTGTAGTAAGGTGCTTGAATGCTCATTCATTCTGAAAGCCAACTGGAGCTTTACTTATTTAGCCTATAAACCAAGTAGTCCATCCTAATGTTTCAGGGCGTAGAGATGATGTTACTGCCCAACAAACAGTTCAAAACCAAAGAGTGTGTTTGTGTAACTCTGAGAAAAGCGGTAAAAGCTCACATTTGAGATGGCAAAACAAGAAAACACAAATTACTGCCACTGTTTTGCCCAAGTTTGTGCTTGAAAGACATCTAAAACCAGTACTTAACAATGCTCACATGAGAATTTCCTCCTTTTCTGTCATAAGAAGCTGTGGTCAGGCATTTACATACACAGGCCTGTTAACTTGTTACCCATCATGATCGATTACACCTGGTAGTGTCTCTTTGCGACTATTAAAATATATAGACAAATATTACTCTTAATGCCATCTTCCTCTTTTAAAACTTCTCCTGTTTCATGTCAACATCCTCCTCACTACATATCTAGCCTTAATCACGTGCCTATTCTTTTAACTCAACTCTTAGCTGTTGAATACAGATAACCAACTCAATCTGGATAATTCAGTGCTGTGACATACATATATAATCTCTCAGCACACAGTCCCTGACAGATCGCACTCCAGACTCCATCGTTCCTTTTGCGCCACCAACTCGTTTCCTCCTGAGTCAGAGAAATCTGTCTCCCACTCAGTTTGAAGGTGGTGTCAAGCCTTTTTAGAAGCAAGGAAGAGGCTCAAACAGAGTGGATCAGATTATTCTGACAGCCCGGATGCTGCTGCTCTGTGGGCAACATGGAAGAAGCTGAATTATAGATTAAAACCCCGGCTGACATCAGGTGAGAGTGTGACCTGAAGGGGACTGAGTGCACACCCACACATGGAGATCGGTCATATTCATATCTATCTATCTATCGCTACAAGTGAAAAAAATGACCACTTGTATTAGTTAAATGCAGCCCTGGGTCACTTCCTGTTTATGAGTTTGCACAACACCTCACAAGCTGTGACAAAAATCAGCAAAAAATTTCACTTCCTTAATTTGATTTAGTCCTCTCTGCAGCCACTCCACAGCAAAACACAAGAAGTGTTTCCCTGAAGCTTTAAAGGCAAGTGGCAGCACATAAGTAGGGCCTGATTAACTTCAAGGTGTGTGTGGCTTTGTTGGGGCACTGCAGAGGGCTGGAGCAGCTGAAAACAAAGCTTTAAAAATCCCACATTTCAGTTAGAAATCACATACTACATGACTGAGCAACATATGGTTGGAAATGCAGTGTGCACTTACCAGGTTTCATCAGACTCCTCTGAGCAGCTCAGGGAATTCAAATCCAGAAGTTCCAGCTCGTCCAGAACCGACGGCTCGGATGCATCCTCCTCCTCCTCGTCGTCCTCCTCCCTCGCAGCAGCCGCTCCATCCCTGCCGCTGTGCGGGTGGAAATAGTCGAAAGGCTCCTCGGGGGCGGAGAACGAGCCCAAGGACGAGTGGCACAGCAGGGTGGGCAGCGGGCTGGGGAGGCAGTATCCGCCGGCGCCGGCTCGGGTGCGCAGCTGCTCGTTCTGCCGCTCCAGTTTGCGCACCAGCTCCTGCAGCTTCTTCACCTCCAGCTCGGCGTTCAGGGTGTTGCTGTTGCAGTCCACCTCCGTCATGATCGCGGGGTTCAGCACGGCCGCCTCCATTGGAGCAAAGAAAAGCACACGAAAAGACCACAATACCAGCCGCCTTCACCTCTACCTCCACCTTAAACCACAAATGGAGGACAGGTAGGGCCAAGCTGCTGCTGCGCCCTCAGACTGCTTTCTGTATTCGGCAGCGGTAGTAATCTGTCTAGTACGCCTGTCTGGACGTTCACCCAATGGGAGACTACATAACTCCCCCCCTCCCTCCGACACATTTACACACGTACCCCTCCCTCTGTTCCTCTCCCGGCACTGATTACAGGTAGATGGTGCACCTGTCAGTCTAAAATGTGGGCTAATGTCCAACAACCTAACCGTAAACATATGACGTTTATTTTTTTCATGCTGTAACACATTTCTATATTCTGCTTCACTCAATGCAAACACACTGCCTCAGTTAATATTTACTTATAAGCTTTTAACTAATTAATGATGTTATTTTATAATGAGATGAAGTTATAATTAGCAACAGACGGCATTTGTGAAACTTTGGCGACATCTAGTGGTTGAAGTGAGGGATATATCAAATTAAATATATATTATTTAATAACAGAAATAAAACAGAAAAAAAGCCTACGTTCGTCCGGTTCTGCCTTTGACTTTTATCGGCAATATGTCGATAAAGCAATATGTTTTTTCACTCTAGAGACTAAACTATTGATAAACTATCGAATTCGTCAATTTATTTATTAATAAAAAAACGTTACTTAGTAGAAATCACCACAGTCACCCCAAGCGAATTTGTATTTCACCGTTATTAGCATACACTCCCGAAAACACCCGGATGCTCCGAATCCACGAAGCCAGTGCCCGAGCGTTAGTGTTGCACTGTGGGTAATGTAGGCCATGGATTTTGACAAAATAAAACGTAAAACGCGGAATAAAATCATATCTGGTTCTACTGCAGGTTGTTGGCAGCATATTTTATTTGATTAATTTGATTAGATTTGTTTATATAAAAATTTTTAAACACATCACCACAGTTGACTTGATTCAATCTAAAAAAAAAATCTTAGTTTTGCTTCAAAAACTGCACAGTTTGCCGTAAAATCGTTACTCCTGCCTTTAAAAAAAACAAAAAAAACAAAAATTAGCCTCGAGTCTTTAACATTTACTATAAAATAATCTCACACTATGGTGAACATAGGTACCTAACCTACTACCTAAGAAGGTATTTGAAAAAAAAAAAAAAAAAAAAAAAAAAGGAAAATTGTTTAAATTGTATTAAAAAAAAAACACAACAAAAAAAAACAAGCCAAAATATCACAACCTTTATTTATATTTTATAGAAAATCTTTAATTTATTAATTGATGTACAGATAAACAGGCCAAACTATGAATTTCTTATAACATGTCTCCATCTGGTGGCTGAAGGAGCTCCCTGCAGCAGGTGCATCATGAAAACCATGTGAGAAAGCATAGCACTTGGCACCAAGAGCTTAAAGAGGACAGAGTGGCATCGCCTCTGGAGAGAAAATAAAGCAGTTTCCCTGATGTCAGAAATCAGTTTGAATGTTTCATATCCAAGCTCAGGTGGAACTGATCCGCCCCTCAGCGCTTCTTCCAGGTGAATTTCCGTCGTGCTCCCTCCTGTCCAGGCTTCTTCCTCTCCCTCACTCTTGGGTCGGGGGTCAGCAGACCAGCTGTGGAAAAAAAAAATGAAAAGAATGAAATATAACTGAACACAGGCGCAGATGAGTAAATTTTTATGTATCTATTAGTTCATTAGTACATGCATGTCATAACACAAGTAGTCCTTATGAGACTGGAGAGTGACATAAATATTTATGGTAGGGAAGATCACGGTAACGTTTAAGTAACAAAAAACACAGCAGCAAACAACCAGCTGTCACGGAGCTTTGTGGTCTCAGGAAAACCAGAGGTGATAAAAACTACACAATAAATTCAAGACTAAATAACTTTACTTTATTATAGTTGGCTAATAAAAAAGGTTAGCTGAGAAAAGAAAAGAAAAGAAAAAAGAAAGAAAACTCTGGAGAAAATACTGTGCTTTGTTCTGTTCTCCGTCAACATGATCCTACACTGCTTCAATAATGAGGTCCGACTCATGACTGATAGTATTCCACTGTATGTTTTTCTATACAACTCTGATTTTACTGCACTACCAGTGTGTTTGGGATCATTGTCATGCTGAAAAATGTTATCAATCAGATGCTTCCTTGCATGATAGATTCAAAACCTGATGGCACTTTTCTGCGTTATTGTCACAATTACTTAATGTCAGCAGATTAGACATGTGACCCTCCCGTTCCTGGTGACAACGAGCCGGCTAAACAACAACAGCTGATTATAAGCTAACATTATGCTAGTTAATGTTAGGCTCGTGCCTCCTGAAAATCCCAAGTTCCTTGTGACAAACTCTCATACAGTATGAAAATTTATTAACTAAGTGTCTGAATGCAGCAATTCAGTGAAACTTTGTTCTCAGTGAAACTAGCATCAGCTAACAGAGGCTAACAACGGCAAAATACAGCTGTGCTTAGTAACAGGAAATTTTCTAGAGTTGCTTTGCTGTCTGAGAACTCTTGCTACAGATGAACGGTGACTTGAGTGACTCGGGGTAACCATCTCTGTTTTTTATTGCTAAGTGTTGATATTATTCAAATATGTTCATTTACAGTTTACAAAATGTGTTTGTTTGTTTTCCCTTTTTACACAAACAGCAGTAGAAACATGCCGACCGGGTGTGGCCTTTATGGGGTACAGTCTAAATTTAATATTGTTGATCTCTCCTTGCTGACTAAAACATGGCAGCTGCCATAGCTAAGGCGGTGCACTTAATTGGGAGGGGTAAAGCCTAGGTTATCCTCAGGTTTGCAAACAGACTGCTGCAGACCCGACGGCCAAGCAGTCATTCCTGTTATGCTGCTTTAAAGTCAGTGTGTAATGTAAATTCTCTATGGAGAAGTCTACACGGTAACAAAAACCAAACAGGACCTTTGCACTAACCATCCGACGACAAACTTTACGTGACTGGGACCCAAGTAGACCCCCAGACTTCCCGAATCCATGCTTAGGAAAACAGAACCCAGTAAAGGTAATATGTAATCTACTGACAGAGATTTTAGACCCTCTACCTTAAAGAACATGCTTTTCAGATACGGTTTATTTAGGCTTTACATGTCTTGTCCAGTTCTTCAAATATTTTAAGGACACACTGCAAACCACGCTTAGATATGTCCATCCAACCAAAGATTTTTAAAACCAGCTGCACAAGCTGGTGAATGAGCACTCTTTTAATCCCAAGTTGTAAAAGTATATCAGTGGTAGTAGTTTTCAGACAGGATGCTGCCGTAGGAGATACAAACAAAACAAAACAAAGCAAAACTACCCACCTTGTCTCATCACCTCCCCATCTCCCTCAGACAGGAAGCTGAGCAGCGCACGGGAAATGGCGAGTCTCAGGGCCCCCGCCTGGCTCGACCTGCCGCCACCGCTCACCTTACACTCCAAGTTGAAGCGGCCCAGCACGCCCATGAACTGCAACGGGAACATCAGCTGCTCTCTGAGAGGTATTTTTAAAAAAAAAGAAGAAGAGAAAATGACCAAGAGATAATAAGGTGAAAGAATGAAATGTGGCTGAATGGGCAGACCAGGAGTGTGCACTATTTAACAGATAGCGGTATCAACGGCGGAGGCTTAGCTAATTTAATGTCTGGTTGGGTGACTTTTCAGACAAGCGTAGAGGATCCCGGCGCTGTGAAATGCCTTCTTTTACAATCTCACCACCACATATAACAGAGTAACTTCTGACTCAGCAGGAAGAGGATAAGAGTGTGTGTGTGTGTGAGTGAGAAAAAGAAAGTGTCTGTGTTCTGGATGGCGTCTTAGGCTGAATGGCCCATAGCTGCTGACAAAGTCAATTGTCACCTCTCTGCTCCAATTACAGCCCCGTCCTCACACTGCGTGACAACACCAGCTCTGGACATTCTCTCTCACACTCACACACACTCACACACACACACACACACACAATCACTCAACTGTGTAATTAACTTACTACAAGGAGATAAATAAAAAACGAGGCGATGCTGTGAAGAGTGAAAAAGCTGCTTTTTAATTTTAATTTTTTTTTTTGGAGAGGTAGGGGTGGAGGGTGGAGAGTAAAACCCATCGCGTCTTGCATTTTAAGGAAAACGGTATCTGTGAATGAAGCAGTGCAGAGGCTGTGAGGTGGAAAGGCTTATTTGCTCAGAGTGGAAACCTTCGTGCTGCTCTCCTCACCTGTCCTGCAGCACGGGGAAGTATTGGAGGTAGTCCTGGCCGTTGACGGTAATGTGTCCTGAGCCGCAGTCCCGCAGGATCACTGATGAGTCTGATGTCTTCCTCCGACCTGAGAATGACAATGAAACACAGTCTGGTTTTTTACTTCAGACACGAGTGTCATGTTTGCAAGTTTACTACAAAGGTTACCTTTTTTAACCTTCCAAATCCTCCCAGAAATGACTGGGAATGGAGGAAGTTACCTGGTCTCGCATGTAGCAAGAAAACAAAACACTTTGTTTAGGCGAGGGAGGCATGAAGCATGATAATTCAGCAGAAATTACCCTCATTGATGGGCTCAATCAGACATTAGAAGGAATTGATACCCAGGAGTGTCAGACTGATGATTATTTGATGTAGACACTTACAGTGGTCTCTCTCCTGACCTGCTCCGTACATACTGATGATGTTTTGAACCAAACAATTCCATCAGACCCATTTTCACTGATTTCTAGTCCAATTCTTGTGTAATATGGGATGCCTCAGCCCTATCTCCCCGTTTCCCTTCCTTAAGAATGGCAGTAGATGATGAGCTGAAGGTCCAGATGCATCTCTCAAGTTCTGTGTCAGGTCTTTGCTGGATTATTTTCTGATTCTTAATACTCATCAACTCGACATGATACATTTCATCTACTAATAGTTTTTTAGACCAGAAACTTCTTTTGTCCTCCAATTGTTCAGTGTCCTTGATTTTTTTAAGAACACCCGGCACACCATGCTGAGATATGCCAAGTTTTTAGCTAACAGCTGTTTGAGAATCCCCTTTTTGGTGTAATGATACTATTTAATCTTAAACTGTGTTATCTTTGGAATTTTTCAGAGATTAAACAAAAGAAAAGGGTACAAATTGTGTGTTTTTGTGACAGGCTGCTAATAAAAAAAAGTGCCTAAAGATACAATTTAACAACACTGGTTCATCCCTTTAGCTAGAGCTTTTTTTAATGTTTGAATGAATCTTCAGAGAGCCTGGACAACTAATGCTTAAGAGCACTTAAAAAACACTAGTCTGGCTCTTTGGAAGCAAAATATAAAGAACTGAGGAGGGGCTCAAGACCTTTGCTCAGCACAATAAAATCATGCTGGGTTTTTTTTTGTTTTTTTTTTAATTTCCCCCAAATACTCTGAATTCCACAAAAACTGTGCAATGAAATTATTTGCATTTGTTTTTAAGCCTGGCTAAATCTGCTCACACTGTCACATTATCAGAGTTTTAGCCAAGACAGAAATACCAAAAACTGAATCTCCACAGACTGCCACAGATTAACGTGTTTACGTCTTGCTACAAAAACAGTTTTGGTCTTGCTAATTTATCCATTTGTGATGGCTGTGCCTGGTCAACTGGCTCCACTATGACAAGAAAACAACAGGTGGTGAGGGTGGCCATTATTTCTATACAGAATATGCATGCTGACCTCTAGTACACATGTACAGATCCCAAAAAGCCACATTAAAAGGGACATACCAGGGTGAAATCAACCAAACGTGCCTTAAACTGAGAGGTTCCTTTTCTGTGTTAAACTGTTTTTTTGGTCGATTTTCAAAACTTCTGAGACTTCTGAGAAACACATCGCTGTTGTGAACCTACCCTCCGCGGTGCTGAAGGCCACACCATTTTCATCCTTCTCCAGCAGTGGCACCAATTGCTTCAAGGACTGAGCCTCCAGCAGCCGACGGTATCGCTGAACGAACTCCTCCTCCGTGCTGCTGTACGGCATGCAAAGCATGTGCTCCATTAGCTTGATAAAACGGTCGTACTGAAGACAAATGCACAAAAATGCAAATCAAACTCTTGGACACAAAAGAGGTGCAAAATAGGACGACAAAAAGCATAAAACCTACATCATGAGTAGAGATGGTCTCCACTAGTAACAGTTCCAGCTCCTCCTTTGTCAGCCACCGGCTTGGGCCGAGAGAGCTAATGGAAACAGGAAGAGATGCGAAATAAAAAAACAAATTGCCAAAACCGCTTTAAAGACTTTTGATTGTGGACTCTTCCTCCTCTTACATCAGCTGGGCATCCTGGGAGAAAAGTCCTTTGGCCCTCAGACGGTCTTGGTGCTTCTCGATTTTCAGGATTTTGCCATAAAGATCCTAAAACAACAAAAGCTTTCCTCAGTCTTATAGAAAAATCTTACTGAACACAAATCAGGGTTGAAAACGGGATTTTAAGGGGAACATCTTTCTCCATTGCCCATCCTGGCCCTCCACAGTCAGATTTAAGCCCTACATCAACACTGACATGGGGCCTAAAAATCCAACCAAAGCTCTCGAGAACGAGAAAAAGTTCAGCCGTATTCTAACCAGAAGAGGAGAAACAGTTTTCATTCCATTTCTATTTTACCCATTTCATAGACTGAACAACTAATGAGTGATGGAAATGGAGTGATCTGCCCAAAAGCCCTTTCTTCTGTTTAGGAAGTAACTTTCATTCCCAGGAAGTCTTTTCCCCTCCTTCAGGCAGCTGTTTTTCTTCCTTCTGTTAAAGTCTAAAGCGCCAAAAGGATTATGAAAATAACCACAGCACTTGTCTGACTCTCTTCTCTGTGGCCACAGAGGAACGGTTAAACCTTGCTGATTGGCTGCATCCGCACAGCACCTTCTGGCAGGGCAGCGCAGGGGTGTACGAGGGTTGATTTGTGCTTTAGAAAGAAATCATTGTGACATGATCATAAAGCACTGATTCACTGCTCTTTATTTTGCTAACAGCTTTTACACCTACATCGCCCGCTGCTGATTTTTGGCACAATCTTGCTCATTTAACTCATTGAAAGCATGAAAGTCAAAGTCTGAATGTTCTGTGTACAGTTACTGATCATTTCTGCACAATAAAAGATGGATGAGGTACAGATTTCTTTGTCAACATCTTGTTTAATTAAACCTAAACGTCACAAGTGACGCCCTGAAGCTTCATCCTTCTTTTTGACTCTATGCTTATGAAATAAACCTCATGCTCTACTAAATAAGTCTTCAAACAAGAGACTGAGACCATAGCTTTATCAGTAAAGAGTTTACTGAGGCCATAATTGGAGGCTCATTTTCACATGGATTTCTACACAGACTACTTCCTGTGACCAGAGTTGCAAGTTTAAGACACCTCAGCGTCAAACTGAATCATTGTTAAGTGACTTTAGACATGTGCCAGATGGGCTGGTCTGAGTATTTCAGAAACTGCTGATCTGTTAGGATTGTCCCACACAACCTTCTCCAGGGTTTACAAAAAAAAATAGTTTGAAAAAGAGAAAATGTCCCGGTGACATCAGAGGTCAGCTGAAAATGATGGTTTCCATGTGATAGGAAGGCAACAGTAACTCAAGAAACTACTCGTTACAACCAATGTGTGCAGAAGAGCATCTCAACAGCAGCAGAAGACCACACAGGACCACGCCTGTCAGCTAACAACAGGAAACTGAGGCTATAATTCACACAGGCTCACCAAAACTGGACAATAGACGTTTTGCAGATCTGAATCAGGATTTCTTCTGCAAGTTTCAGTTGGTAGGGTCAGAATTTGGTACAAACAACATGAAAGCATGGATCCATCCTGCCTTATATCAATAGTTCAGGTTGCTGCTGGTGTAATGGTTTGGAGGATATTTTCTTTATACACCTCTCTGCATTTAATCATTAGTCATTATTAATCTCTTCCACAGTGTGTCTCTTGTCCTGTCTTACTCTCGTCACCCCTACTGGTCGCAGCAGATGGCCGCGTCTCCCCAAGCCTGGTTCTGCTGGAAGTTTCTCTTCTGTTAGGAGTTTTTCCTTCCCACAGTCGCCAGGTTCTTGCTCATATTGGGGCCATTTAATTGTTGGGTTTTTCCTCTTCAAAGAAGCTGTAACTAATGAATTGACCAGTGAGCGTAGAGTTAAAGACCCAGACAGTTCAAGACTTTAGTGTAAAAGATGCTAATTTCTTTGCAGCCTTGTTGAGAAACTGAAAATAAAGAACTTCATATCAGCCTTTAGTGGAAAAAAAACTAAAAATCATGAGAATAAAAGCAGATTACAACTAAACACTTTTAAAGGATAAAAACTCTTTTCTATTTTTCTACTAATTTTCTTTACAGTTTAATTTCAGTCAGTTTGTAATGTCATGATGCATTTGCTCATGTATTGTGTAGTAAAATTGACCTCGGCAACTGTGCTGCACAACTGAAGCAGAGCTGGAAGGAGCAAAAAAAATCTGGAGTTAAATACCCGACACTAGAGTTTCGCTGAGCGGCGGATCAATGCCGCGCTGGGGGTAACCTGGGGAGAATGTGTCATGGCGACGGACACAGACAGAAAGGCAGACAGACGGTAGGGTAAGATCGGGGGAAGAGAAGGAGGAGAGGGTGGGCATGCTGGTCACGTCCCCGAGGCAGTCCCCACCCCCACCCCACCTTAGCCACACAGCGCCTGGGTGAGAACTCATTTCCCCGTCAATTATTCACCAGATGTTTGTTTAATTCCTTCTTGATAGAGTGTGCCTAATCCGCTGCCACTCTGACCAGCGACAGAGGGGTACGGGAGGAGGAGAGAAAAAGAAAATCAAGCAAACATCAAGGAAAAACCAATTTTCTTTACAAAAAGAAAAAAAAATACAGTAATAGAAAAATCTGAAAAAAAGAAGGCGAGAGGAGAAGGCAGCTTGAGTTACACGTGTGCAAACACTGGCTCCTACAATGGCGAGAAATAATTCGCATGGATTGGCGGGATGAAAGGAGGTGGCGGCGGAGTAGTGGGCCAGTATCTGGATACATTTAAGTTGAGGCTGTTACAGAGACAGACAGTCAATAAAGGCTCTTCAAATGCACGTTCAGAGCTCCGGCTACGTGAGAACGAGGCATTAACTACCAGCATTTATTCGGTCTTCGTGTGGAAAAGGAAGGCGAGTTCTCGGGCCTCCCTGGAGTTGTGGCCATAAAGGGTTCAGCGGAGCAGCGAGCAGGTTAATGTGCCACGCCGGCTGAGAGGAGAGCAGCCGAGCACGAAGGCTGCTTCTTTACACGCCACTGCCCCCTCCTGGCAACGCTCCCGGGGCTTGTGAGACAGCGAGACGATGGGTAAAGGGCAAAGGATGGGAAGGATGGGAAAGACAGACATGTCTGACATACCTATTTAAACCCACAGCAGGGGGTGCAGATTACAGCTGCAGGGCAAAACGATGTGTGTGTGTGTGGGGACAAATATTCACATATCATCCCCCTCTTCTCTCTCTCCTTCTCTGTGTTGCAGATACAATCAGACAGAAGAACAAGCGTGAACGGTGTGCCTGCTCATCTGCCCCACTCATCCTCCTCTTCATCGCCCAGCCCTGCTTCCCTCCAAATCCCCGAGGAGGAGGTCTTCCCCGTAGCGGGACAAAGCCTGACAACCAGACACCTTTGATGGGACTCGAATCCTGGACATAAAAAAATAAAACTACACCGTTTATTCCAATCAAAAGGGTTTTAAAATTCTGTTGTGTTTGTATCTTTGTCTCAAACGGCTGTTTTGCTATTACACAGGCCAAACACATCATTTGATCTATTTTTAATACAAATGATCTCGGCACTGCAGGACAAAAATGCCCTGAAATTATTTTTCTTAGTGGAGTCTGGATATACTGCTGATGTGCGTTTACTTTCTGTTGTAGTAGTTTTTAAATTTTCCCTCTTTTGTGGTCTCAACACCAGTGTACGGTTCATCTTCACTTTAAGAGGCTTGAAATGTTTGTATATTTCATTTCTGGAGTCACCGTGTTCACATGATTTTCAGAAAACTTGACCTCTGACCTTGACTTCAAATTTAAATATTGGTCTGACTATTGGTGACCACTGATATTCGAACTCTCTGAGATTTGCAGTAGATGAACCTAAGACAGGAAGACAGGTCCTGTTTGGTATGTTTAGTAAGCACCCAGAGAGCAGGTCTGGGTGCTTAGGCTAAGCCGATCCCAAAGCCACCCTCAAACATCACATGTACACAGACACAGACAGAAGAGGATGAGGGGAATGAGAATCAGTATGTATGTAAGTGCTAATTGGTGCCCCCTGAAAGCCTGAACTGAGCAGTTTCTGTCATATTTCAGGCCTGCTCAAAGAACAAAATGCCCGGGTGCATCAGAAGTTAGTGAGGGTGGTGTCTGCTTACGGAGTACGGAGCTACCCTTGGAAAAACTCAACCTATTCTAATGGTGTGAAAACCAAATCTTTATTGAGATATAATGAGGTGTCAAAACTCCTCATTAAGGGTGCAGGGAGGTCACCAAATGTTGTGTTTACGGGGGAAAGAGTTACGATTAAGGATCTGAAAGCCAGCACTGGGGTGCCAAGATTGGAGCCTCGACTGCCTTCTGTTTACACGGACAGACTGACTGAACAACACAATGTTAAAGGTCAGTGAGCCAGCCTGTGACTGTGTATGTGCTTATTTAAAGAAAAGTTGCTAAAATGATATAAAAAGTTGCAAAACCCAGTGGCAAATTTGTTAAGTTTGCAACAACGAGGCAAACTAACGCACAATGTCAAGTTGAAGAGGTGAGATGATAAACATCTCCACATGAAGAAAATAGAGTCTGTAATTAGCTTAAACAATAAACCTCTGCAGGTGGGCTTGTGTCTGATTATATAACTGCGACATCAGGTAAGGAAATCACCCCAGATTTGAATTAAAGATAATGGCTGTCTGTGCTGTGATTTCAGCTGTATTTAAATGTAAAATAATCACAGAGGGGGAAGTTAGATGCAACAAAAGCTCTAGTACTTTTATTCTGTCACACGGTGCACAGCCTGAGAGCAACAGAAGCAGGAATGTCCGTGTTCTTAGCAAGTCCCATTCCTGATAACTAAGACTGGAGGAAAATGACATGTGATGCTCACTGCTTAGATTAAAAGCTGAAGATGTACAAAACTATTATCGAAATGCCAATATTGACCAATGAATACCTACACAACAGACGGATATTCAGGTACAACACACCCCCCCAAAAAACAAAGCAAAAAACAACCAAACCCAAAACTGTCACAGTGTTGTGAATTCCTTTGTGCTAAAAGTCTTCACAAGTCTTCAAGAGCCCTAACAAAAATAAAATCCTCCATTAGTTTTGTTTGCTGAGATTTGGGGGCTGGGTGATTAGGTATTCCACAGGGATCCATTCTTGGACCTCTTTTATTTATTCTTTACACAATATTATCTCTGTCATCTGCAATTTTTTATGCAGAAGACACCATTTCATATGCCACCGTCTCTTCCCTTGATCTGACCATTGCAAATCTGCAGCTGGCTTCTGATAAATTTTAGAAATCTGCTATTGCACATAAACTTGTTTTAAACAGTGACAAAACTAAATGCGTGATATTAACAAGATTTACAAGGTCCCCTAAAAGTATCCGGGAACTACCCTTCATATTCAAATGCTTTATAGTCATAAAATCCAAATGGTTGACTGATATAAATCCTCGGGCTGGATGAATTTAAAAAATCATTTAAAAAAAAAAAATCATCCAGAAAAGTTTTTTCTGTGTTCATTTTGAAAACATATCTCAGTCTATGTCAAAAAGCAAAACATTAAGGACGGTCAAGAGTGTACAAAACCAACAGGTAATGATGCAATCCTCACCGTGAAGAAATGTTTGCCAATCAAAAGCCCACAAACAATAACAGAGCGCACAATTTTTTGAAAATCTGCACCCTGGCCGGAGTTTTTCCAAAGCTCAATTTTCAGTGATCCAAAATGCCATTTATGTGTGGACGTAGACTGGGAAGCTACATCCAGATTTTCAGTTTTAACGCGCTGGTTTCAGTTCCACACAAAAGAAAAACTAACCAATCAAGTCATAAATAACAGTTTGCGAATAACATGACGTGGCATCTGGTGTAGTGTAACAGCTTTACTTCCTTGGTGGAAGAAGTTGTCTGATGGCAGCTGAAGCAGGGAAATAAATATAATATATATACTATAAATACTTAAGTTCATAGTGTTTTCCAACAACTACATCAGCTGACAAGAACTGCATTTAAATGTGAGCTATGAAACTACATCTCTTAGTGACATGCAGCCTATATTACAAAAACAACCTTTTGCTGCAGTTTGAAAACCAGCTAAAAAAATTACATTCATGCAGGGCTATAAAAAATATCTTCAGCTACAAGAAGAACAGGAAGTCGTGCAGCAGATTGTGGGTTAGTCCTGACCTCAGACTGTAAGTACAGAAACAGACTCAAGGATATGCCATAAAAACATAAATAAAAACTACTGTTGGTACTATGTTTTGTAAATTCATGGTACACAGATAAACCTTCGGTATGACAGATGAAAGATGACCTCAAAAGGTTCAACATGAATCCAAACAGGTGAAAATAAGCCTCCATCTCTGCAGCAGGTTCCCCCCTGAGATTCGCATGTTAAGCTGGACTACCTCTGACCTCCTGCTCGCCTCACCTCCCTCTATTCTCCCACCTCTTCCCTCACACCGCTGCGTGGAAAAGAGGATCTGACTTCGCTGCTCCTCCAGGGAACGGCACCGTCTTCTTTCAACTCACTCTGTCTGAATAGGATATGACCCGAGGGTGCGGGAAGCAGGGAGGGAGCAGGTGAGGAAGAGCTGGGGATTTGAGGGGGATGAAGGTTTAACTGACAGCGCTGCTCGCTGCTCCAGCTGTACTGCCGTACTCACATGCATGAGGGAGTAGTAGGACTGCTTGCCAGTGTAAAACAGGAAGTGAAAGGGCCGCCCGTCTGCTCCCCACTGGACAGCTTTATGGAGAGGAAAATGAATCAGCTCTGGAAACCCTCAGTTAAAAAAAATGAATAAAAAATGCATTCAGGAGCAGATTTACATACCTCTTTGCTTGGGAAAGATTTCATCAGGATGCTGGAAATAAAAACAGATTTTTTTCAGTAAAAAAAAAAAACCCAAATAAATAAAATCAAACAACTGGTGATGTGTAGAGCTTTAAAAGCCACCACTCCTGAGCTCTACTCAGGAACCATCTTTTGCTTCTGTTTACCCCTCAAACTCACTGATGTACCAGACAAGTACCTGTGCTTGTGATGTTTATATTTATACTGGTGACCACAGTGAACGAGACAATTTACCAACCTACCTGAGGTCAAACTGAAAAGATCAAGGACATTTCATCATAAAAGCACCAGAACTGATGCGTTCCATCAAACTGCTGCTTGTGTTTCCACTGTAGACCCACCAACATTAGAGAAATTACTCAGCACTAAGCTTCTTTTGTTTGTTTTTTACATCCCTTTCAATCTTTAAAAAAAAGGACAAAAACAAAAAAAAAAAACAGGTAAATTGAACAGACCATCTTTAAACTAAATTTGTTTCATTTGTTCTTTTCTATTTTAATATTTCAACTACATATTTCCTTTAAGAAAAGGGCAAAAAAAAAAAATTGGGACAATATGAAACAACAGTGCTGGCGTCTACAAAAACTGGTTTTGAAGAAAGTGGAGCCCTGTCCCAGTTCAGATTTTATTTTTGTTTTTCTTTTTATTGTGCCCACCATGGAACGTGTCCTCCTGAGAAGTTCTTGTCCAAGATCATAGATGGTAAAGAAAATCAGACGTATCTGTGTCCACTGGTTGATCATCTACATCGTCGTCCTCCACAGAAACTGGCTCATCCATATTAATGTTTTGTGTCCAGATGTGATGAACCACAGCTTGGCTTATTGTAAATCTGCTTATTTTTGCATGCTACAAACTGGAGATGTGTACTGTGAAAGCTAGCGACTAAACCGAGTTGGTCTGGACATGCCTTACATGTCTGTACCTTTTCATGTGGACGTTTAGATTGGAGCAGTGGGGATAAAGGGGGCTGTTTGTTCAGGGAAGGAGACAAACAGGTAAAGAGGGAAACCCCTAACTTCTCTCTGACAGTGTTAGTGACCTCACAGTGTGTTTATGATTTCAGTTTTGGCACTGATTATTGTTTTATAGTCTCATATTATAAATGGGTTGAAACCGACCCAAACAACACAAAGATGAGAATTTTCACCAGAGCATTTTATCATTTTGTAAAATTAAATTTTTGTCTTTTGTTTTGTTTAAACAGAGATTCCTGACAATGTGAAAAAGCCTTGAAGCAATAGCCTAATTTAAAAGGTGTTGCCACGACAGGTTAATGGAAGTAAATAGGGGAAAAAAGAGAAACGCTTAACCAACAAGTAAATTAAACCGTGCAGTCTTACCTTCATGAGCGGCCGAGCTGTCTTCTCAAACAGGCCGGAGGGAAAAAGGTACGTGATGCTTCTCTGTGGGCGAAAGACAGAGAAACAAACAAACAAATACATAAATAAATAAATAAAAGGAGATGGCAGTTTGAGAGATGATGGCACATTATGACAACGCTGACATGTCCACACAACAGAGGTCACACCAACAAAGTGACAGAGTAAGAGGTGCAAGCTGCTTGCGGGTTCAAGGAAAGGCGAGCAAGGTGTGTGTGTGTGTGTGTGTGTGTGTGTGTGTGTGTGTGTGTGTGTGTGGTTAGAGGAGAAAACAAGCATGAAAAGGCACAAGTTTAGGCTTTGTTGACAGCGAACAGAGGACACTGTGGATGTCTAACAGTTCACTCCGAGTTCATCCTCTGCTGTGTGTGTTATTAGCAGGGCTACAGATGGCATTGGAAATGTGTGTGTGAGGGAAGAAAGGCCCCTCATCAAGACAGCCTGCTCATCTCTCTCCCTCTTCATCCCACCATCTCTGCACTCTTCCTCCTGTCCTGCTCTCTCTGTCGGTTCAATTAGCGAGGCAGCAGGTGCTGCGGGGAGAGAGCAGGTTGCTGCCTTTAAGGTTGTCAAAACGACGGAAAAGTAGGAAGAAAAAAGGGGGCCGGTCGAGGGAAATGTCTGCGCTAAAGCTGTGAGAGGCAGGAAGAGGAAGACAAGTGAGGAGAAGTTAAAGGGTAGGAAAAAAAAATAAAAGGAGGAGGAAAAGGGAAAGACGAGGAACAGATGAAGACGCACCTGTGTGTCCCCAGAGAGTTGACAGAGATGTGGAAGAGCTCCCCGAGGGGGGAAAGACGGAGTGACAGAGGGGAAAAGACGACTTAGCAGAGCCACAGCGCACAAAGATATTTTTTTTTACTTCATGGTGAAATAGGAAGCTGCAACAGGACAGACAGTAGTGGAGGAAAAGATCAAAGACGAAGATGAACAGAGTTATTTTAAACCTACAAAACCACGAGTGAAGATTCAAAACTTCACAAATTCACTGCACGATTCAATATCTGTGAGATTTTTTAACATTTTGTAATATTTCGAGTATTGCAATAATATATACCGTATTTCACGACCATAAGGCGCACTGTCAATGAACGGTCTGTTTTCATTCACAATGCACACCGGATTACAAGGCGCATTAAGTGAAACAAAACAGTCAGATACGTCACACTTTAGTCAACCTTTTCTTCTTGCTTCCTCCACCTCTGTGCCATTGATTCACCAATGCTGAATTCTCTCACAGCTGCTCTATTCCCATGTTGTTGCAGTATATTAATGACTAACCTCATATTGTGGATGGATTATCTCAGTTGTTCTCCTGACTGAAGTTTGGTCTGTTTACAGCATCCTGCCATGCGATTGCATTTGGTGAGGTCTCCCGTTGACTTTTATTGAGTGGAAAAAGGTTAGCATTCATCCTCCAGCTTGACTGTGTTTATGTTATGCTAACGTAGCTGTGTCGCTAGCGATGGCGTAGCACATCATTATATACCAGCTAGCCCAACTTCAGCAACCCTAAAAAAGTCACTGCTGTTCAGTTTTCTGTCTTCATTTATGTTGGAAGTGATGGCAGAGCTGTAAGTTTGAATTCTTTCAGATATCTCTCAGTCAGAACATGCTATATCATGTTTAGGTAGAAGCTAGCGAGCTAACTTCCTGCTAACTTCTAACTCTGTTGAATTTCATAAATTCTGTTTTCATGGATGTTAAACTTAATTGTTACACCTGGTAAAGCAGCAACGGGACCTGAAGAGGACGGTTTTTTGACCCAGATTACTCTGCCAGGCTCCTGACTACAATAGCCATAATGCTCCAACAATCCATCAAGCAGTGCGGCTTCATAGCTTACCAAAGTCGTACTAAAACATTTCTGACTGATTTTTGAGCGCTGTGTACCACATAAAATCAGTTCGAGGTCAGCAAGCACAACCAGAATTCATACTTAAGGCGCACCAGATTATAAAGGGCACCGTCGATTTTGAGAAAATTAAAGGATTTTAAGTGCGCCTTATAGTGCGGAAAGTAAGGTACTGCAAATAATGTTCTCAAAGTTAGACTTTGCCAGTATCTGTTTATCCAATAAGATAAAGTTGTCTCACTTCAGTTATTGAGATTGTCAAACAATTCAACACTTGCTGAAACCTGCCGTAAAAGTTGCCATAACAGCCGACTTGACAACTGAATGGAGTCAAGTTGTCCGTTACATGAAACCAGTTTCTAATAATACAGCAATTAATTGTGATAAAAAAAATACAAAGACAGAAATTCATATTTAACTATTATATTTGCACTCAGCAGCCTTCCAGTTCTGGGAGGGTCCTGTGCTGGATTCCCCCCCAATGCAGCCAGTTTAATATAGGTTTACTCGACTAACACTATCACAGCTGCATGAGATGCCACAAATGTACTCAAATGTATAATTTTTTCAAAAATCAGTTTAGCTAAATAAGACAAATTTTTTCAAGTTCCAGCTTCTAAAGACTAAAGACCAGAGACTGTATATAAAAGATGGAATCCTACTGCCTATGGTAGACCCAATTTCCCTTTATTTTTTCAAATATAGTTTGTACAGTAGCAGATAATCTCTAACTGGTACATACTTTTATTTTTGTTTTTCAGTTCTTACCGGTAACAGCTTGTAGGTACACTACTGCCGCCTTTTGGTTGTAGCAGTGTGTTACATCTTAGCAGGAACCAGTTAAAAACAAGCAAACTATGAGCTTCAAGATCATAAATAGCTGCATGGACAATTTATATATAATTTAATGACTGAATATTCAAAAATTGTGATCATCGCTAACAAGAACGCGACCAAAACTAAAGCACAAACTTCATGAATGTTTTTTTTTTTTAATGGCAGTTAAGCTTTATCTGTATTCATATGTATGAGTTATACAGTTGCTATGAAGGGAGAAGCTAGCCTAGTTGGAAATTTTAACATGATGTGGGGATTGACCCACTATCGGAAGCAGCCTCGTGGCCATTAGAGGAACTGCAGTTAGTGACACTTTTTTCAGCCTCCTTATTACCTCTAAAATCAGAAATCATCTTTTATTCGCCTTTGTTTAACCTGATAATGTTCTAAGCACTTTATAAACAGTTCCCTAAAAATGTTTCATTTATTTATGATTAATCTATTAAATATTGTCTAACTGTTTCAGTGCTCGTTTACTTGCAAGTAAATTTGGCTCAAAAAGTCACCAGAGTCCCAGAACAAAGAAAAAAACCCAAATAAATAAAAAAAATCTGAGATTTTTTGGGCCTTTCTGGGTCTGCGCTCTGTATTAATTCCTCCTCCTGGCTGCAAACATCCTTTTGATTTTCCCCGGGTCTTTATCACCGTCACACCTGAAGAGTCTGGACTCCAAACTGGAGCGCAGGGATTTCTCAGGTGCCCCACTATGCACCTCTGCAGTCCTCCCAAATTTTCCTCTTTCCCTCCACGCATCCAAGTCCAGGCTGCTGGCCGTCGCTTCGGCTTTCACAGCCTGGCGCAAACAGCTCACTTCATTATTTGTGAGGGGCACTGGGGACTGGACGAGGGACGGGTGGGAAATCGAGCTAAATGGTTAGAGCAGTGAGGGCTAATGTATTGCCAAAAAAAAGAAAAATCACAAACAAGCTTTGGGTGCATTTAAGGGCGTTGCTAATAGCAATGATGCAGTGGATTAGACAGACGCGGCCACACCTGCCTGCTGCACGTGGAGCCAAACGACGCTAATGATGCTGACAAAGAGTGGAGGCTTTAAACGCATCAAACTTCTGCCTGCAATGCCAGATAGGATGGTGTGAGGGGGAACGACATACCAAAGATGGCCTACGGTGGATTCAAAGCCACCATGCTACAGTAGGAATCTACACTGCCGCACAAACTCAGCATTTCAGAGATTTACAGCTCACTGTTCACTGCTAAAGACTCCAAAATTTATTGTTTTTAATTTACAGAAATGTTCCTAAAAAGGAAATTCAAACAAACAGGAGTCAACCACAGTTTGTTTGGGACTTTTTTTAGTGGCGTATTAATCCACATTTAGTGGCTTTCTGAGCATTTGACTGAGATGTGATATAAATATGTCATCTGCTCAGTGGATCTGGAGGTTTTAATGTCTAGAGAGGTGGGAAAAAATAAACAGACTCCACAATTTAATATAGTGAACGTCAGCAAATGCCATACGTACAGTCCCTTAAACTCAATCGCTTCATTAGCTGGGATCACATATCCAAATGGGATTAGACACTTTTTAGTGAAAGAAAATGTCAGATGGACGGTAAGCAAAGATCTGGGTCTAAGACTGCAGTTTTGCCCAAAACGAGATGGCATTACGCTCATTTAAAACTGGGTGTAAAAAGGTTAAAAGACTGGCTGTTGAAGATGGCAGCAGGAAACACAGAGCACGAGGAGACATCAGCAGGTGTGTAGTTCAGCAGTAAGTGTGGCTGCAGGGTGGTTGTTGTAATCTTAGATGTGAGGATTAGCCTTTTGTCTAGGGTAGGGCTGCCACGATTAGTCGACTAGTCACGACTACGTTGACTATCAAAATCGGAGACAACTAATTTAATAGTCGACGCGTCGTTTGAAGTAGGGCTGGGCTATATCATACCGTTCACGGTAATACTGGTGTAATTTTGGGCAACGATAGGAAAATGAAATATTGCGATAGAATATGGGTAAAACTTGCATGCGCAGTGCCTTTGTTTACATACACACATGGCGGCGACGCAGAATGAAAAGAGCGAAAGTGGATCGTTGAATGAAACGGATGAACCAGAATTGGTTTGTAAAAATGCTGCAACTTCAGTGGTGTGGAACTGGTTTAGCTTTCGTCCGTCAGATACACAACAAAGCACTATTTTTGATAGCGCATGCTAGCGGGCCGTCGTTATTACCGTGTTGTTTGGAAACTACGGCACACTTAAAATCAATCCTTTGATTTTTCTGAAAATCGACAGTGCCCCTTATAATCCCGTGTGCCTTATGTATGAATTCTGGTTGTGTTTACTTCCCTCGAAACGATTTTATGTCGTACACGGCGCTCGAAAATCTGTCAAATGTTTCAGTACGACTTTGCTAAGCTACAAAACCGCACCGCTTGATGGATTGTCGGAGCATTACGGCTATCGTAGGCAGGCGCCTAATATTACCGTATTGTGTGTGTATAACCTCTTTTTAAATTTTGTGGATATTAAACATGGTTATGCTGAGGATATGTCGGCCAGTTTCCACTGGAAATGCCTTTTGGTTAAACTGTCAGCAAGGAATTTGCACCGTTACATTTTTATATAACTTTAATGCACATAAAAAAACAGCTGCTTGTTTAAGTGAAAATACATTGATGGGGTTTTTTGCACTAATGAAGTTGTGGAGTTGTGAAGTATTTTGTCTAGTGTCAATTATATCGTCAGTTATATCGTTATCGCAAATTTTCAAATGTATATCGTGATAAATATTTTTGGTTATATCGCCCTGCTCTAGTTTGAAGCTTTGTAAGAAAGATGCAGGAATAAGTAGTAGGATTTAATTGTGTAATAACGGACTGAAACAGAAGATGGCAGCACTGCATGTACAAGGATGCCAGCTGCCGTTAAACCCCAAAGAAGAAGAAGCAGTGTCCGGTATTGTAGCTGTGTCCAAATTCAGGGCCGCATCCTCCTGAGGCCGCATTTGTAGGCCGATTACGTCCAAATTCGAAGACTCCTCCAAATGCAGCCGAAAAATGCGCCCTCCTTTTCCCCAGATTTGAAGGATGGGTCGAGTGTATCCTTCGTGGCCCAGCTATCCCAGAATTCATAGCGCGGCCCTGCTCAGTTTCCAACAATGGCGGCAGCTAGCTAGTTTTAATATTACTCTTATTATTCTTTCTGGGTCACAAAATAAACGTTTAATATATTTTCAGGCGAGAATGTAGCTGTGTAAACTTCAAATATCTGCTCAGTTTATCAGGACACCACATATTTTCAGAGACGTCTGTTACCCACTAGCTTGATAGCTAGCCGGGGTTCAAGGCTCACTAGAGCTGCGAAAAACCTCCCAGCAAATCGTTTTCAAACCCACCGCCGTCTTTCACTACTCAGGTTAAACATGATATATAAGTCACTTAGATAACTTAAAAATGTTATTGTTTGATTTTTTTCAGTTTTTTGTTTTGTTCCTGAGTAAATCAGTTTGTCTGAGGTCAAAGTTATAGTTTTTACACAGCTGAATAAACGTCAAACAGACAACTGATCATCAGAAGTGTGAGATGCTCGAGAATATACTCCGGTGTCCTGTTATATTTTAGATAGCAAGGAGCAGACGGCTGAGTTTATTAAACTCCACCGAGACAATCTGCAAATTTCTATAAAAGCTTAATAAACTATCATCTGCTCTTTATTTTTAGTTAGCACATACCTTAAACACTTCAAGCTTTAAGCTAATGATAGTTATATAAGAGCAGACACATGCTGATGCAATAAGCTGTACGTTTTACGTCCAATGGATGCATGATCTGATTAGTCGACTAATCGCAAAAATAATCCGTGACTAGTCGACTATCAAAATAATTGTTTGTGGCAGCCCTAGTCTAGGGTCACCTGCGTTTCCCAGTAGCAGGAGAAAAGACAAGAAAGGAGAGTGCTGGGGCAGATTTCAGATACTACACAAACATCACTTTCACACTCCAAGCCAGATGAGATCACTCACTCACGCCAGCTTTCTGTTGATTTGCAGTTATATTTCTATATTTTCTTTTCGCAAGTGCCAAAATTAAGTGACCCCTGCCCAGGCCAGCTCCTGACCTACATCAATTGCAGATACCTTTGCAAACACCACTGTCAAGTACTCAAGACTCACTAAAGAAGTGCTGAAAATCCCCAACTATGTCATGTACAGTTCAAAGCTTAAAATGGTGCAAAAAAAATCACATGAAAACCTCGCCGTTCTCGTCTTTTTATCCTTTATTTCCCACATAAAGCATCCTGCCTATGTGTGATGCTTTAGAAGCTGCTGCCAAATTCTTTCTAATTAAAGCGAACTTACATCGATGTCCTCCTGGGTGAAGTTCTCGGAATCTTCTCCCATCATGTTGGCCAGGTGGCGTTTCCCGATTTCGTACTCCTCCACCTGCTTTTGGATGTACTCCAGGGTGAACTTCTCCGGTCCAGCGGCCGCCAGGTTCTTCCTGCACAGGGCAGAGCTCACACATACCTGCCTGCTCAGCAGCACCTGGGGACGGGGGGAAAAGAGCCATTATTGTCAGACAAATATCCAGGGCAGCTCGATAACACAGCCGAATTACAGTTAAGAGCTCAGTAAACTGACATAAAGCACCTCAACGACTGTGGCACATTCGTGAAACTACAGACGTGGTGACAGGTTCTTAATTTAAATATCCGTCAGCGGAGATTTGGCTAACAAACCCTGCTAGAAGCCGCTAACTCAAGGACGAGGAAGTTTCGTCCTTTATTTAAACATATTCGCGTGCGTTAAAGGTGAAATAACGCGTTAAAATGTCACACGCTACGTTAATTCTACCTGTTGGCTTACCTGCGTGGCGACTGTGTTTATACTCGAGCTGCATGTCATACATTTCCCCAGAAACGAGCCCACGGTCCGCACACAGGACGCCGCCATCTTTGCTGACAGCGGTGACGTCCGAGGCGGAAGTTGTCTACGTCAGAAACACGTGCGGTAATCCGTAAAAATAAAATAAAATAAACTCTGTCCGCTTAATAAAACAACAACAACAACAACGTTATTAGAAGTGTAAATTCTAAAATCAGGAGTTTGTTTTAGTTTCTTTGCAGCCCTTTTCTGTTTAAAACAATGTCCTGATTTATGTATGTAGATGAATGTTGCTGGTGTCTTTACAGTTTACAATTTTAGAAGAATTACCCCTGAAAATATGGCATAATATACATCCCACCAAGAATTAGATGCTGATAGTATGAGTGAGGCATAAGTAATTTTAGCAAAGGGAATAAAGTGTAGACCTCAAAACTGTGCCAAACAAATAAGAAATTTAGGTCAGTAGTTTGTATTTCAGGCTGTAAAATTGACATTATTTGAAGATGATTATCAGCTGTTTGTGTATATATGTATAAAAAGGGTGGTCTTTATTCTTCAAGCTCGGGTCCTCTACCAGAGGCCTGGGAGCTTGAGGGTCCTGTGCTTTATCTTTGCCGTTCCTAAGACTGCGCTCTTCTGGACAGAGATCTCGGATGTTGTTCCTGGGATCTGCTGGAGCCACTCACCCAGTTTTGAGGTCACTGCATTGAGTGCTTCGATTACCCCTGGGACCACTGTAACTTCACCCTCAACATCTTCTCGAGCTCTTCTCTGAGCCCTTGTTTTTCTCCAGCTTCTCGTGTTCCTTCTTCCTGATGTTGCTGTCACTTGGTATAGCTACTATCTATCACTGTGGCCGTCTTCCTCTGCTGCTCCACCACTACTATGTCTGGTTAGTTAGCCATCATCAGTTTGTCTGTCTGTATCTGGAAGACCAGTAGGATCTTAGCATGGTAATTCTTCACCACCCTGAGGGGGCATATCACATTTTTAACTCTGGATTTTCATGCCATACTCAGGACAGACATTCCTCTCTGCTATCAGTCCAGCTCGATGTACTCTGATGTACTCAAGGATGTTTGTTGGCTCATCCTAGACAGTGGTTCTGACACTCACTAGCCACTGGGCTTCTTCCTTCTGCTTAGAGTACAGTCTCATGTTACTGGAGCTTTTCCCCCATCTATCTATCTATCTATCTATCTATCTATCTATCTATCTATCTATCTATCTATCTATCTATCTATCTATCTATCTATCTATCTATCTATCTATCTATCTATCTATCTATCTATCTATCTATCTATCTATCTATCTATCTTTTACAGAGTTTCTTGGAGATAAAGATATGGTAGATGAGGTTGTTGTTACCAGTAATGTTGATGAAATATTTTAATCATAGATTGGTAAACCTTTCCTTTGCAGTTCCTTAATTATTAATTAATATGCAATGATGATCCCTCCCACTCTGTGTGGTTGATTCTCCTTCTTCCTCATCTGTGTAGGAAACAGGAAGCGTATTAGAGGCGGGGCCTAAGAGAAAACAAATCTGTTACCATTGGGCTAATTGTTTAAAATGGGCCTGCAGCATGTGTTTTTTTTCTTGTAAACATTTAGCTGCTCTATATTTCTATTTAGCTTAAACTGCATTATCTGTGTGGTCTCCTAGTTTTGTCTTTAGTAGGATACAGCAAGGTAAAAATAGGTGCGCAGATAATTAGAAAAGAAAATACAGGTCAAATACTAAGAAAACCTCGGCATCAACTCAACCTTGTTGTTGTGACTCTTTTAGGTTGGTTCATTCAGTGTACTTCCTCAGAAAGTGTCCAACAATTCTTAGAAACACCTTTCCTATTACTTATTAGTTCGTGTTATGATTATCCAAGTTTATGTTGGTAGCAGCTCAAGTTTAACTGTGCACACACAGAAAATATTTCCCTGTTTTATATATCATTTTCATGGCTGTACCCCAACTTTAAAGGATTTATTTCATTAACACGAATATGAAAACAACATCTGGTAAGAAAAAAAATACATCTTCTTGCAGGTGTTTTTACAATTTACTCTTTCACTAAGCTAGAACTTTACTGAAAAAAAGGTCCTGTGTTTGTGCCTGTGGCACCATGGTACCACGTTCTTACCGCACACTTTGTTTTTGTACCAGATAAATCTTGACATGTGTGTTGGTGAAGTAAAAGAAAAAGCTTTTTAAAGCATAACAAAAAGCAAAAGAAGAGCATGAACAGGATAATCCAAGCTGCATGACAGCAAAACCACAGAGCTGCATAATCTGCCCGAAATGACAAACGAGGCGAATTAAAAAAGAAAAAAAAGAAGAAGAAAGGGGAAAAAAGGGTACATTCCAGTGAGAGCAGAACATTTTAAAACAATTATAAAGGCCACTTCTACTACACCACTTTCTAAACTCTCTCTTGAGCAGCGGTCCGTATCCTAAAAAGTCACACCTCACTGAAAGCTCGTGTTTTGCAGGGCGAGCATGCCAGCCACATGGTGCAGCTACAAGTCTGCAGGGATCTGGCACTCTGGAGCGATCCCTGCTGATTTTTTTTTTTGGGGGGGGGGGGGGTGTTATAAATTAACAGCAGCCACTGACACAACCTTAAACTCTAAACTTGTTTGTGCACAGGTTAAAAAATGACAAACTTGGCTCCACCTCTTTTAGCACAATGACAATTTGTTTCTATATTTAAACTTAATGGATCAGAGTTTGACGCCATGTATCTGCCGCTGGTTTTGTTTTTTGGATCCAGGTCACACGTCTATCGGGCGACCTCCATGACCCCCGCAGAGCCAGTGGATGTTGCACGCGTTGCTCAACTCCATGTGAGCGCCATGTGCCAAATGGAGAGCTGTGCTGTCAGCATTATGCAACAGGATTTAAAACGGCAGATCCACATGAGTTATCAGAAATAACACAATAATGATTAAAAGAAAAAAGCTCAGCCAGAGCTTGCCAAACGTGCTGGCACGGCTACATGTAAAGCAGATTGTTTTGCATATGCGGTGCAGCCGGAGCAGAGATGGATTAACACAACATTATGTGACGCACAAGTTTGTAGATGAACTTCATACGTTGAGATGAAAACAAAGTTTCCCACAGGGAGTGCTGGCTGATGGTTTTCATGCATCACATACAGCAGCGTGTGGTGAACCACAGCTTTCTGCTGTGACTGCTGAGCAGCAGGTGGTCTTAGTTTTCGTTTGAAATGATTGCACTTTATATCTGGTCCTTTACTGAGTTTGCTCTTCTACAGTCCACCCCATGATTCAGTAGCTCGTAGAACCACCTTGAGCAGAAATAACGAGCAGTAATGGTTTTCTGTATGACTTTATCAGTCTCCCACATTGTTGCGGAGGAGTTTTGTCCCACTGTTCTTTACAACATTGTTTCAGTTCACTGAGGTTTATTCACAGCTCTCTTAAGGTCCCACCACAGCATTTCAGTCAGGTTGAGGTCTGGACTTCAACCGGACCTTTGCAAAGACTCCTGTTTAGGTCAAGCTTCATCTGTCAGACAGATGGCCTCACATTGACTCTACAATACTTTGGTATATGAAAGAGTTAATGCTCAACTCAATGACTGCAAGGTGTCCAGGTCCTGTGACTGCAAAACAAGTCTTGTAGTTTATTCAGATGCAACTTTGCAAACCTAAGATGTGTTGCTACAACGATGGGGACTTTGATGGTTTGGCCATGTGTGCCGAATGAACAGAAACCGGATACTGTCAAAGCTCCTATGGCGCGAAAGACCAGCTCAAGGAAAGGTGCAACGCTCCCTGAAAAAAGTGGAGAAACCACATCGCCGAAAATATGGAGAAAATGTGATTGACCATCGAGGAAGCCTGCACCATAACCACTGATTACAAATAGAAGAAAATCACAAAGAAGTCCTGAACCCATTGTGACCACAGCAGCTTATTTACTCCAAGGACACACTCCTGTTCCTACTGCCAAGTGATGGAAAAAAGCAGAAGAAGAGAGAAGCTGTTCCAAGTCAAACTTATTCAGTCTTTTTCCAATTGTACTGTCATGAATTTTGATTTTAACGTGCTAACTGAGGCCTGTAGAGTTGCACATGTAGCTCTTGGGTATTTTCTCAGTTTCTCTGAGTATTGCACAATCTGACCTTGGAGTGAATTTGCTGGGATGCCCACTCCTGGGAAGATTGGCAACTGTCTTGAATTTTTTCCAAAGGTGAATAAATCTCTCTCACTTCAGAATGATGGACTTTAAATTGTGTGGAAATGTCCGGTTGTTTTTCTAACATCATTGCTGATATCTTTCCTCCTTGGTATTAACTGACACCTGAATGCTCCAAACCACAAACTTCCCAAACCTCTGCTATTAAAGAGGTGCTCACACTTGACTATCAATTAATCAAGTGTATTTGATTAGTTGGTTGCTACTTAGCTTCTTAATCCCTGGTGGAAGCGGTGAGGGTGGACTGCATCAGTCCTGTGAAAAGCCTTTTTTTCACATGATTGTATGTGCAAATACTTACTCTCAATTTCTGTAACCTGGCTTGTTTTTGACTTCTTCTCATCCTATATCAGTGCTGATGTAGGGTTACTGTCTGAGTGGCAACACCCATAGGAGAATACTGCAGTGGATACCCGCACCTTAATGGTGAACATAAATAGAAGTGGCTGTATGATGACGTTACCAGTGGATATACTGGAGTCTTCATGCGGCACAGCAAGCAATCTCAGTGACATTCCATATCATACCTTGATGCCTCTGCAGACTGTTTTGCAACCCACCTCCACCTAGCTCCTCTGCATGCCATTTCTAACTTAATCAATTAGATATCTGTTATCCATTGATGCCCGTACCCTTTATTCCTTGTTGTATTTTCAAATCTGAAATGCAACATTTCTAATTAAGCTTTACTTTATTGTAGCCAGATAATCCCATTTGTTGTTGTCCAAAGAAAATCCCAAAGAGGAAGAGTTCGGGCAAGACAATAGAAGCCGGTGTCTCGGTTCATGTAAACACTTTGGAGGTAGCACTACAGTACAATGTATGAAAACCCTTCATTATCCTACATATTTATCATCAAAAATGAGACAAAATGCTTCCTTTTCTAATCACACCTGCAGTAATTTTGGTCCTGTCTCCTCTGTGTGTTTGTGTTTGTGTGTTTTCAGTACAGTAATATGCTGTGTTTACAGATCAATGCTGTGTGTCTTCACTTAGATTACTTTGATAGAGTTGGAACAGGAACACGGGGAGATTAATCAAAGTGAAGGGGCACCGACTCCCGGCCCGTGCCAGTCGATATGGCCGCATGGTTAATTTGCCCCGAGGAGGGCTGTCGTCAGGCAGATGATAAACAGTGTTTGCCCCATTTTTTCGCCACGAGCGTGCTCCTGCTTACCAAGAAAAATAGTTTCGACCTGTGGTCTCTAATTCACAGTGGGGCGTGAGAGGTGGGACATTAATCATCCTTCTGTTGTGGCCTGCCTTTGACAAGCGAGCCACCGTGGGTGGATTGGGTGGAGATATTCGTTTGGTGAGCTCACAGTGGACTCAGGTAAACCATGCAATGGGCTGAAATGTGCAGAAAGTAGAGAATGTATCTGTTTCACTTTGTTAATAATAATAATTAAAAAAAAAACATTAACAGTTGGTGTGAAAACAGCAAATCCGCCCTGAAACTAAAGTAAAAGGATTTA